AATGGCTGCCTCCCAGTCTCTGACTCTGGAGGAGCTGAGAGCTCAGGGCCCCCCTGTTCAGTGAGCCCTCTGCAAAAAGCAGTCAGTCACTCCTCTGTTGCCCTGGTCTCCAGCTGCACTTTGTGCTCACCTGGCCTGTGACCCAGGGTTTCTATCTACAGCACATGGCCCTGTTTGGAGTCTTGAAACCCAGCTGATTCCTGCAGTGTGCTCCCATGCTGCTCCTCTCAGTGGAAGAAGGGGGGGGTCTCCCTGGATCTGCCACTTGTGGGGTCCCTGCTTGAAGAGCAGTGGTGTGACTGTTCCGGGAATTAGTTTATGGCAACCCCAAGCTGCCCCCTCCTTGGCTCTGTCTTTGCAGCTGGCTTCCCTGCTCCGATACCTGGGAGTTCTGCCACTCTCAGGCACCCCTGGTCTTTCTGTGACCCCAAGGGTCCTGAGACCACACTGACCCAGTGAGGATTCCACTCCCCTCTTAGCCACTGGAGCAACATTCCTCTGCGGAGCAGACTTCTAAAAGTTCTTATTTTGTGCTCTGCTGCCCTCCTCCCACCCCCATCTTCCCATATATCACCTTGGATTCACTTCCTCACATATCCTACGTTCCAGAAGGTGGTCGCTTTTTGTTCACAGAATTGCTGCTATTCTTTTCTTTGATCTCCTGTTGAGTTTGTATGTGTTCATAATGGTTTGATAACTATCTAGCTGAATTCCTGGGACCAGATGAAGTTTAGGTTTCCTACTCCTCTGCCCTCTTGCTCCTCCCTCAGTGTGAGGTTTATTTTAAACTTTTAAAAAGTCTATTCCATCAATAGTGTGTTCTTTCATTTGTTTTACAGTGTCTCGCTTTCTTTTGGCTCCATCTTACCTTCTGAATAGGCTCAACATTTTCTCTCTTTAAACTTTTCTTTCAATTTTATCTCCCTGCGTTTCTTTTACTGCCCGGGTTCATAACTTTCGTTTCTTATCAGGGCTGAGATACAGGGTAAGGCGAATGAGATGCCTAGGGGACGAACATTTCAGGAGTCTCTCTCCAAGTCCTGCAAGTGCAGGGTGTGGGGTTGGTACTAGCATGATTTTGCTTTTATGAATTTTTCATCCTAGGTGCCTGGCATGCCTTACCGTAGTTCTGGCTCTTCTGCTTAAATTTCTCATTAGTGGGTATTCATTAAAAGCTGTTTCTGCTCTAAATAGACTTCATTTATTCAAATTTTTGGGCACATCCGCTCTGCAGTATGCATTGTGCCAGGTTTGGGAAATATAAAGGGTCTTAAGACACTGCTCCATTGTTTCTTCAGATTTACTCCTTCTCAAGTCTAGTGCCTATCCCCCCATTCCACCTCATTTCTGCGTTTTTGTACCATGGGGCACTGTTGATCATTACTGCCTGTTCATCCTAGCCCCAGCCCATCTCTTTAGAATATACAGCTATTTCCGTGACAAATCACCCTCTCTGGGAACTAGTGGGCATTTGGGCAATACATCAGTGTCCCTCACTGGTGGGGATTAGAAATTGACTTGTCCTTTCAGTGTGTTAAGGTAGGGGTGCCCAGGATTTCTCCTGGGTTAATGGGCCTTTCGACCTATGTTAGTGGGAAGGTTCTTGTTCATTCATACTCTGCTTAGTATCTTCTCTGTTTGGAATCTTTCCTTCTCCTTCCAGTACTTTGATACCCAGAGGCAAGCTGATTTCCTGCCCAGCTATTTGGCTTATTCTTGCCAACTTTGTTTCCTGGGTCCTGTGTTCTTTTCCTATTCTTTGCTGACTTTTTTTTTTTTTTAACATTTTATTTATTTATTTGACAGAGAGAGGTCACAAGTAGGCAGAGAGGCAGGCAGAGAGAGAGGAGGAAGCAGGCTCTCCATGGAGCAGAGAGCCCGATGCGGGGCTCGATCCCAGGACCCTGGGATCATGACCTGAGCCGAAGGCAGAGGCTTTAACCCACTGAGCCACCCAGGCACCCCTGCTGACTTGTTTTTAATGTAGTTTCTTTGAATGATCCTGCTCTGCTTATTTTTGAAAATAAAAACTGAAAAGAACTGAAAAAAACTTGAAATGAAAAACTGCTTATTCATGAAAATAAACTCATCTACTCATTTAAGAAGTGAATAATGAATACATATTCCACCCCAGGTACTATAGGAGTCACTGTGGTTATCACAATGAGCCCAACCAAACATTCCTTGTAATCCTGAGTTAGAGAGACAAGGTAGATATAAATCATGCCATCTGGGAGGTGTGGTGGTATTTGCTGTGAAGGAAAGTTAGAGATGCAGCTGATCTTCGGACATTTGAGTTGAGATCTCCGTCTTCATTTCACTTAACTAATAGTCAGTTTTGAGCTCTTGCCTGCATCAGGACTTGATACAAAGCACCCATTTCCAGTTCTGGCCTTTGGTTTTGTATTGTCTTTTTCTCACTTGCAGCTTGTCCCCAATCCTTCACCTTAACCTTGGCTGCCATGAATTCTATTCTTACTCAGTAGTGGTTGTCAATCATGATCATTAACTTGTTCTCCTTTGGAAGTTATTTTCTACCTTGTTTTCTTAACATTTGACTCTGTTGGTTCTTTTCCTACATCTTTGTTAGCTTCTTTGTTATATTTTCTACTTCTTTGCATTTCCTAAAAGTTGCCCTAACCCAGATTTTGTCCTGGGCTCTTTCTGTATCAGCTTATCCTTTCTTGGCAGTCTCATCCATTCTAGAAAACTCTGGGTTACCATTTTTATGCAAATGGATGGCTAATATATCTAATTTATGCTCCAGTTTCCAATGATTTGAGGTAGAGATATTCATAGAGGCACATTTCCATGTGTACAGGTATGCATAGAGGTATATGTTCACATAGAGATAGGGAACACCCTAAGTGGAATTCATTATCTTTAGCTCAGTGATATTATAATCTCCCAGTCTTCTTGCTTGAAATCTCGAACATTTCCCACCTTCTTGCTCTCAAGATTCCAGATCTGCCTGTCTGCCCCATGGTGCCAATTTGTCCGGTGTAATAAATAATACCATGTCATGGGTTTCTTCTTTTCAGTGTGTGCTTGTTCAGCTCTAGTCCAGGCTTTTCTTTCTTTCTCCCCTGTCTGTTCTGTTTCTTTCCTAAGGTGCAGCTGCCACTGTCTTTCTCCATTCCGGATGACTGAATCCTGTGCCAGGTTCATTTTTCCTGAAACACAGTTCTGATCTGTCGTTCTTCTCTTCTGCTCATTCATGCTTCAGAAATTCCTTACTGCCTTTGAAAAGCAGGCTGGTTTTCTAGACCTTCCAACTTGTTTTATTTGCCTTGCCACTACCTCCTTCATATAGGCTGGACTCTCTCCAAATGGAATTAATGTTGTAAGAACCTGCCTGTGTTTTTCTGTTTGTGTCTCTACTTTTGTTTCCTTTTGCCAGCAGCATGCTTTTCGCACATTCTCAGTTCTTCCTTCACAGCTTTCCTGAAGCTCTCGCAGATTTTCTGACCCACAGGTACTTTCTTTCTTCCATCATAGGTACATTTACCCATACTTAAAAAAATAGAGTGCTTATCACTTCCCAACTTGTATTGTTATATTGATATGATTTTTAGAAATCTAATTAGCTTTTGTATTTTTCATTGTGCCTAGTATAGTACACTGTCCAAGTATTTGTTGAATTAATAAGTGGATGAATGCCTTCTGAATTAAACCATCAGATAGTCTGGCCTCCTCTGTGCGCCCTTCCCATTACCTTGTTGTTTATCTAAGACCATCTGTTTCTCTCCCTTTTTGCCTTTTTTTGTTTTCCACTTTACCCCTGAATCTCTTCATGTATTGCTATGTGGCCTGTTACCCTTTGTTGTTGTAGCTTCTCTTTTCCTGAGTAAGTATTAATTTCACTTTAGAGAAAAATTATATCATTTCAACGAAAGATGTATGTGGGAAATTTACAGGAAATGGAAGCTAGTGTTGAGAATGACATCTTGATACATTTTATGGGAAAGAAGCCTGCCCACTAGGATTTTGGAAATTTCCAAGTATAGGCTGGAATCTCTGGGCTGGTGGCCAGCTAAGAGTAGAAAGTAGAAGTTATGATGATGTGTTCAGTATCCAGGTGGAAGGCCAGCGGCCAGGTCCATGGCCCTGGACTCCAGTCTACTGATCCAGGCAGCTGCCTTAGATTCCTTAGAAGCAGCTGCCTTGAGCTTGTGGACAAATGATTGGTTTGAAGTGATTTCAGGTAGGAGTAGGGACATAGATGTCTAACTGCAGTGTTGCCATTTTTGAAAGCTAGTGAATCACCTGGGTTCCCTGCATAGTTTTGGATATCCAGTTGTGGCTGTGAATTAGATTTTGTTGATGAATTCCAAAGGAATTAACTTACTTGGTTTAGTCAACAATCGTCATTTGCCCAATGCGAAACTTAGTAAGTGCTGTATCTTTTAAGTCCTAGTTTAGTACCTATTTCATTATAGCCTTAAGATCCCAGATCTTTATACCTTTTTTCAAAATTCTATTCCCTCCCACTCTTACCCATTTCAGAAGCTGAATGGCACTGCAGAGCTCTTTCATCCCTGCCTCATTGCCCTGTTTGTGGAGGTTTTTAGTTGAAGTGGCCCAGACAAGCAGGCTAGCGATACCTTGCAAAGAAACTCAGGACAGATGGTGTGCTTGTCTAACTGCCTAGGAGAGAGTGACACAAGGACACAGGAGGTCCCCCCCCCCACAATGTTTTTTTTTTTTTTTTTAAGATTTTATTTATTTGTGACAGAGATAGAAAGTACAGGTAGGCAGAGCAGCAGGCAAAGGGAGAGGGAGAAGCAGACTCTCCACTGAGCAGGGAGCCTGATGTGGGGCTCAATCCCAGGACCCTGGGATCATGACCCGAGCTGAAGGCAGCCGCTTAACCGACTGAGCCACCTAGCCCTACCCCTCCCTGTCCCAATGTTTTTATCATGCACGTACTACATTTCTGAGAGCACAGAGGACACCATAGGTTAAGTGCTCATCAGTCACCTGTCTCTCTTTGGTTTCAGCTAGTGACAACTGAGCTACTCAAGGCAGGAAGAACTCTGAGCTGAGCAGTGGAGGCCCCCCCTGGATCTGGAGAGAAGAGGCGACCTTGGAACCAGTAATGAGCCATCCTGACTTCAGGCTGAACCTCCGGCCCTTGGGGACCCCCAGAGGTAGCAAAAGGAAAATGGAGTCTCTTCTAGCAACTGAAGACCTGAAATAAAATAACAGTGAAATGGAGGCACAGGGCGGGTCTGGGGCTGAGGGCCACCATAATTCTTTTGGTGACCTGTTAAATATTCTTCCATGTTATTTATTCTAGAATTAAGTGTGGTTTCTTGTTGTCTTAATTTATTATATTGAGTACAGCTGTTTAGTTTTCCTCTAGAAAAGAGACACTCTTTTAGTAATTCCTATTTTAAAAAGTTTGTGTCTATAAACAGCAAAGCATATTGAACCCATTATTCAGATTATGTTCTCTGCATGTTGTGGTGCTGATTTAAAACTTAAGTCTCATCTATGTACATTTTATGCATGTTTCCTCATTTTACGCCTGTTACCTATTCTTTCCTTTTTGTGACTATTTGAAATCATTATCCGATCATTTCATTCTTTTATTAGTCTTTCTACATTAAAAAAAAAAGGTAAAATATCTCCAGTTTAAAAATACAGAGATGCTTGGTTGAGGAAAGAGTTGATTGCTGCCTCATGTTTCTAGGTGTGTCCTCTGTGGTTAGCCCACATGGTGTTGGTGCTTCGCCAGGTGACAAAAAGTCAAAGAACAAGTCCATACGAGGGAAGAAAAAGAGCGTATTTGAAACCTACATGTCCAAGGAGGATGTCTCAGAAGGCTTGAAGAGAGGAACACTTATCCAGGTGCTTAAAACATTCCTTGGCTGTGTGGAATCAGAAGTAACCCTTGGCTCATTAAACTGTTTATTCTGCATTGTGTGCTTGAGGGACATGGCTCGAGAGCAGGCCCAGGGCTTCCCACTTCTTATACCCACAGTGCAGTTCGGGGTGCTAAGCACCACAAGACAGAGCAAGTGCTCTGAGATTTGAGAGGAAGGAGCCATTACTTAGAGTTGTCTAGGAATTGTTTATTTGGTCTAGGAGTGCTTAATTGGAAGGGATGTATTCGACCAGTTGGTACAGTTGGAACAAGTGACAATAAGAGAAAGAGCTTTCTGGACGGACAGACCAGTGTGCGCTACTAAAACCAAAGTGGAAAATAGGGTTTGGTGTAAGGAGCACTGATAGTTGAGTTTGCCGGGAGCACGTGGACACTAAGTGATGGAGACGAGGGTTGAGAAGGAACCAGTAAACAGCACCAGACAATATTTGTTGAGCGCTTTATAGTTTACAGAATACTTTTACAAGCTAGCCCAGTGGTTTGGCTCAGCAGAAGTTTGTTGAGCATCCGCTGTGAGCTGGGAACAGTACACAGTTAGCAGTGTGCTGCCTGGGTTCTCCCAAGGCGAAGGTGGATGAGATTGGCTTTCTGTTCTCCCAGCTCCCAGCCCAGGGTGGGCAGGCAGTCATGGGAATGAGTGATTTAGGGATAGATGGTAAGTGCTCAAATGAAAGTGTTACTGGGGTGTGTGGGAGGGTGTTGGGGGGAACTGGGAGCCTGGAGGAGGTGACTTCTTGGTGGGTATGGGAGGATGACTAGTTGGGCCTATTACATGAGTGCTATGTGTGTGAGAAGGAGGTGTGGGGAGGGTGGGGCACCGATGAAAACATGACTGGTGAAACAGTGTGGAGGAAGGCAGCGTAGGTCTCCTTGGGCATGAACTATGAAGTAGGAAGTAGGTAATGAGATGGAGAGTGAGGCAGGGCACATATTCTTTGAATCAAGTGTATTTTAGAATTATGGGATTGGTAAATAGAGGCATGGCCATGTGTTATGTGGCTCGCTTGAAAATGTTGGTTGTGGGGCTGCCTGGGTGGCTCAGTGGGTTAAGCCTCTGCCTTCAGCTCGGGTCATGATCTCAGGGTCCTGCGATCGAGTCCCACATCGGACTCTCTGCTAGGCAGGGAGCCTGCTTCCTCCTCTCTCTCTCTCTCTACTTGTGATCTCTCTGTCAAATAAATAAAATCTTTAAAAAAAAAAAAAAAGAAAATGTTGGTTGTGTTCCATTCTGAATGCATTCTCTCATTCCTCTCATTCTGAGAGCCCAGCTTCTATATTTGTGGTTTTGGCCAAAGATCCAGCCAGTGAACAGCTACTGTCATCTTCTTTTCCTTTTTAATTACCTTTTTGTATTTACTTGTAGTCAAGTGCACATATGATTAATGTAGACTCTTTGATTGGAACCTTTTGACTCCCTCCAGCCACTCCCTGCCCTTCTCCTGTATCCTCGCCTCCTCTGGCAACTACCTGTTTGTATCTCTGAGGTTTTTTGTTTTGTTTTGTTTTTTTAAGATTCCACATATAAGAGACCCAACAGTACTTGGCTTTCTCTGTTTGGCCTATTTCACTTAGCAGGTCACTTTGAGGTCCATCAGTGTGGTCACAAATGGCAAGATATCATCCCTTTTTTATTTCTGAGTAATATTCCCTTGTATGTGTATGTATACACCATGATCTCTTTATCCATTCCTCCATCAATGGACACTTAGGTTGTTTTCATAACTTGTCTATTATAAATAGTGCCTCCCTGAACGTGGGTGCTCATATCTTTTTGTGTTAGTGTTTTTATTGACTCTTGAATGGAAAACTTTTTTAACAAACAAGTTGATCTTTCTGATTTTAGAGGTACTGTTAGCAGCCCCCCTTTTCTTTAACTTTCCTTGGAGTTCTTTGATGAGGCCTCTCTTAGGAGAGTTGAGTCTGCATTTGGACATTTGTCCCTTCATTAATCCATTCATTTGCTCTTTATCCTTCAATCTACATACTGAGCTCCATTTTATCTGCAAGTTTCTTGGCCCTCATCTTGTTTCATGTATGAGGACCCTTTTGTGCCTTTCCCACTTTCATCTCTTGCCACTCTCCTTTAGGTACATGCTGCTCTGTTCACCCTGCCCTGATTTTTAAGACCTGTCCTGTAAAAACTCTGCTGTTTGCTTTTTCCAGGACTCTGTACACAGCGTTCCTAGTGCTTGGAATGCTTTCTCCCATTATCTTGATGTAATTGTGCTTGAACTTTAAGTCCCTACCTAAATGTTACCCCCCTTTGAGAAGCCTTATTTTAATTCCCCAAGCAGAATTGGCCATGACTGCTTTCTTGAAACTGACTTTGTTGTTTACCCTTTATGCTAAACTTATTACCGTTTCTTGGTATTTATGTTTCCTCAAATAGACCATTCACTTTCTTGTGGGGAGAGCTGTGTCTTATTCCCACAGATTAGCCCAGTGTGTGACATTTGATTGATGCATAATAAGTTTATATTGAATAAATATTTATTTGCTGAGTGAATAAAGGATCAAGGTACCGTCTTTTGAAGATGGGTGAAGGAAACTCTGTTATAACTTGGAAGAAAAATTGCTTCTAATTTTGGTTATAGAATTTATAGAGATAGGATGAAGAAAATATTCTGGAATGATACAGTTTTTGCTCCTTCCTATTAACTTTTGCTTTTGAAGCAACTCTTTGCTGAAATTAAGACAAAACAGAAAGCTGATCAATGTAACAGCTCTTTCCCAGGAGTTTGTAAGTGATTCCTCCTGGCTTGTGACATCATGAGACTCTGCAGCCAGAGCCTCCCCCCACAGATGAGAACAGTTGTTCTTTGCAGATGGGGAGAGGAATGGGTTCCAGATATGAGGTCACCATGTGAAATATACAACACTGTAAATAAGATTTTCATAAGCAGGGAAACAGAGTCCATCTGCTTTTTGATATGAACTTTATGTGTGCAGGCCTTGATGGGTAAGATAAAAAGCTAGATAAGGAAAGCTATTTAGATGCTGTTGGAGAAAAGTAAACTTATTAGATACACTTATAAGTATTTGTTAACTTTTATATTCAAATTTAAGTATATTGTGACATCCTTTTTTTTTCTCTCCATCCAGGGAAGAAACTTTTATTGAGAGATACTAAGGAGTTATTTTAAAAATGGGAGTAGAATACTTCAAACAATAATTTGACATTTCATTGGTGTTTTGCCTTCTGTGGGAATGATGAATCCATAGTGACCAAAGGAATCCCTTTCCTGTGTTTGAACTGGCCAGCAGGAACACATGATCATGTATACATAATTTTGAAAAAAATTTTCTTTGTAAACAAATTGTCACATTGTACATATGTCCTTTCTCTGTAGGTGCAGTATAGGAGATTGTTATAGGATGTGTTGAAAGAAATGAAAGTACGGGATAGGCCTGGAGGGGACTCAGGTTCAGGGTGATGACCAGAGTAACATGGGTATGATGGTAGGATTGGTTGGTTTCCTGATCTCAGATGATACTTTGGCTGAAGGTGGTTTGGGTTGATCCCCTAGAGCAGCTTGAGGCATGATGTCACAGTTTCCCCTAAAATAGAATATTGGTGTAAAGTTGTTATTGGACCTTATAAGAATTCCTAGTCCAGGAAGATAGGACAAGATGGGTTAGTTTCTAGGACCTTCACCATTTGTTTAAAGTGAAATCAGCTGGAGAACATTTGGGTATGAATTAAAGGGAAAAATAGAGGTGACATTACAGTGAACTGCCCCACTATTCAGAAGGCACAAATAATCTTCATAAAATGACAGGCAGGGCTGGTGGGAGAGCTTCAACTCTGTAGCATGCATTAAGTAGCTCATGTTTCTTGACTGTCTCCTAAGTTCCGGCACATTCCAGTGAGTGTGATAGGTAATTCACTGGGGGAGTCGGGCAAACACAACCTAAGACATAAAGAGGGAATTACAGCATGTGCTGAGCACTGCTAGGGAAGTAAGAAAGATGAGAAAGAAGAATTAGAGCCACTTTACATGGGGTGGTTAGGCTGCTCTGAGCAGGTGATTTCTGAGCTGAGAGCTGAAGGGTGGAAATGAGCCAGCTCTCAGGAGAATTAGGCAAAGAACATCATCACACGCAGAGAGACCAGCTTGAGGAAGAATGGCAGGCAGAAAAAAGGCTGGTGTTTTTGAGGAACATGAAGGGAGCTGTTAGACACAGTGAGCAATGGGAATTAAGATATGGGAATAAGCTGGAAAGTCAGGCAGCTGCCACAGCTAGGAGAGTAGTTCAGTTACTGAAACTGAAGGGTTTTAGTAGGGAGAGGGCATGATGTATTTTATGCTTTAAAAATACCTCTCTGACTGTTGCGAGGTGGATAGACTCGAGTGGAAGCTGGGTGACCATGTGGAAGGCCATTAGAGTAAACGGGGCAAGGTAAGAAGGTGGTGGCAGTGGAGATGGCAGGGAGTGGACGATGGTGGAGCTGGAACTGGCAGGAGGCTGATGGCTTAAATGTGAAGGCGAGGCAAAGGGAGGAATAAAGCAGGACTCCTAAGTTTTGAGTTGAGCCCCTAGATGGATGATGTTGCCATTAACTGAGGCAGGGAAGACAGAGGGCTGGAAGGTGGTGCTGGGGTGTTGGGGGAAGGGAGCAGATGGCATAAATGAGCAGAGAGGCCCTGGTGATGACCGTGTCAAGCAGAGGCAGTCTGAGGCAGTTATGCACGAGGACTCTGGAACCAGAATGCTGGGCTTGAATGATACATGGGTGGACACCTCTCATACCTCAGTGTTCTCATTGGTGAAAGGGAAGACAGTAGTGCTTACCTTGTAGGATTGATTTGAGGGTTAACTGATGGATATAAAACTCTTAAAACAGCGTGTAACATGTAGTATATTTATATAAGTGTATTTGAGATTTTTTTTTTTATTGATATAAGAGAAGTGTTTGCTGTTCAACTCAGGTGGTTGCTGCCACGGAGGGTTAGCCGGTTTTTCAAGAAAATATGGAAATACATATTTATGTGTGAAATTCCTTTGCTTTAAGTATTCTCAAACATCCTGTAAGCCAAATAAAACATGTTTGTGATTGCCAGGTTAGGCTAATTAGCCTGATTGTGTGGTTTTTCCTACAGTAACGTTCAGTTCCTTGGGTATAGGCATGGAGAAGGCAGATAGTTGGGGTTAACTGAGAGGGCCTGGTAGTTGAATAGAAGAGGGAGGGTGGACCCAGGACTCAGAGTTTGCAAGGGCAGGAGGTAGTAGCAGTCTTGGCAACTAGGTGGCAAGGTTATGGCAACTAGGTTATGGCAACTAGGTGGCCACACTAAACATAGTATAGGGACAAAATGCGGTCAGCTCCATGGGTTGGAAGTCTTAGTGAAGACAAAGAATTATTGAAGTGGGGTTTTTACCATAAGTGAAATAGAAGGTTAGAAGATTGTGATTAGAAAGTGTGATATTTGAGTTTTCATGTCTGGGGTTGGTATCATTAGCAGTGGTGCCAAGAGACAGCAATGAACATGGGGGAGAGTGGTTAGGGTGGGTGGAGAAAAAAAGGTGGCTAGAGTGACTGGCTAGGGTTGTCTCATCAACCACATGGATACAAAGTTCTGTTTATAGGAATGGTGGTGCAGAGGAAGACAGTGAGCTACAAGTCGAAGCATTACTGAATCAGGGATACTATCAAAAGGTTTGAAGTTGATAGTACTGAGGACGAGGCAGGAGCTAATGATATGATCTTCAGAGGATCTGGATTTTGATCAAGAATGGAGAGAAAAAAACAATTTTAAAGCTAGAGTGGGGAAGCAGGAGAGAACCTTCTTCTTCTGGTCCCTGAGACACATGGCACAGGAGAGATAGACTCCCTTTGAGAGCACTTCAAGGGTAGTGATCACATCAAGGGGACAGCCAGGTTTCCCTTAAGTCAAGGAGCAGAGGAGCATTCAGAGAGGAGGTGGAGCCCGTAGGAGCCCCACTGATCAAGTCCCAGGGCAGGAAGGGGTTGAGGAGGAAGATGAGTGAAGACGGATTGGAGTAGATTAGGTGATAGTCATAAAAATGTAGAAATGGAAGTCCTGGACTTCGGAAGGTGAGTAAGACAAAACCTTGCTGGAAGTCTCTTTTAGTTAAAAGGCCGTTTCTTGACATGGTTTACTGACAGCTACCTTCCTTAGGCTGTGGGGTGGACTCTGGTCTGCTGTGAAATTCTGGTAGAAGTTTCTTTTTCCTCAGTATGATTTACACTCCCAAGGGAATCTCTTCCTGAGGTCGGTTTCTTAAGAGTATGCTCCACTCAACCTGCAAATGTTTTTCTTGAACAAGGCTTCTGTCTTCCCCTGTATGCTTTTATATATCAGGGTCTTTGGGATAGATAGATAGTCAAGAACAGAATCTTGAAGGTCCTTTTAATATCCGTTCTTTTAAATAGAGCCTAGACAGAGCCCTGAGCAACCTCTCTCCTTTGAGCCCAGTGTTAGCCTTTCCACGTGCTTTGCGCTTAAAAGCCCTCTGACAGCAGAAGGCATTCTTGCCTCTCTTTACTTCCTTAGGTAGTAACCATTCCCTGAGCTGGAAAGGATGATAGAAAAATAGCAGTTGAGGGGGAAAAAACAAAACAAACCTTAGGTCAGAAAGCAGTGCCTAGAATCAGAAAATGAATTTTTAAAAAATTTAACTTGAGCGAATGGACTTGATTTATTTGGAGTGTCTTCCGCTCACCAGACACATGCTCTGTGAGGGCAGGCTGTTACTCCTCTCCATTGTGTCCCCATCAGGAGGCATAGTGCCTGCCATGCGAATCTTCAGGAGATTTGGATAAATGTAATAAGCGTTTTGTCTTCCAACAACAACAACAACAACAACAACAACAGCAAAACCAGCTGTTTTAGCCGTGAAATTGCTGTGACATTCATAAAAAAGGGTGACCTCAGAGAGCTTTGCCTGCCTTGTTTCCCACCCCCTCTTTCTCTTACCCTAAGCAGAGTGACAGCATGATGGGAGACGAGTGTTTGCCCTTTTAAGCACTCTTGCTTACATGGTCTTTGCCTCTGTTTCCCTTCTGATTTATTGGCAAGTTTTTCTCCTCCATCAAGGACCAAGTCAGACACTGTCCATGGAGCCTTTCCTGGTGGCCCCAGCTGCAAGTCAGCTGTATCCTCATTTATGGCAACCTTCATATTTTACCTCATAAACAAGGACTGAGCTTGATCACCACTCTCTCTCCACATTGTCTCAGTGTCTTGAGTATAGTATTCAATAAATCTTGAATTAAGTCTGCATGGGATGTTAACAATAGCATAAACTGTTGTGTGGAAATTTATAATGTAAACACACATGGTGCACCAGTGAAGGGGAGAATATTTTCTCTTTTATTTTATTCCCTCACCTGTTTTGCTAATTAATGTCTCTTTGAGTCTTCCAGCATTTTAGGGGGTAAATGTTATTTGAAACACTTTCTCACGACACCCTTTGAGGCTGGCTCTTAGGAAAACAACTGCCTCTCTCCATGTGTTCCAGTGGCCTTCAAATGCAGCTGGAACCTTGGGAGGCTTACAGCTTCCTGCAAAAGCCTAAAATACTGCTATTGAAGACGGCCCCCATCTGCACCTCTGTGCGTAAATAGAAGCAGACCCTGACTTGGTGCTGGAATAACATGAAGGTGAAGGCAGACTGGGTGGCCTGCCTGTCGGAGCCAGGATTCCCATTTACATTAAGAGCTAGTTCTGGACCATTTTGAATTATTGACTCCTTCAGCTCTGTAGAAGGGCCAGAGTAAAAAATATGCATCTGGTCTCTCAAGGTTAAGTATCCAGGTTGGAAATCAACCTGTATCCTTTCGAAAACTGTCACGGAAACAAGCAAGCGTAGAAAGGTCTCAGTGAATAAAAAAGGCCATTATGTAGTGAGATGTAATCCCCATATAATCTTGTTCTTAAAGTAAAGGTTGCAGTGTGAAGTCTAGAATATGGGGGCACAAAAAAATCTCAGTAGCTGCCGTTTTCCCACTCCAGGCCAAGCTCTCCTCCTTCTTACCTCTGCCTGTTCACAGCCAGGTGCCAGTGTGGCCTTTCAGTTTTTGATGGAACCCTGTGTTACAGACATCAGTAGAAATCACATTTCATGCATTTAATGAGTAGTTTTCCTATGCCTAAGTTGTTTTGTAGATTGAGCTGTTTAATTAATTCAGAAACTTTTTATTGAAGAATAACATGTATGGTAATCTTCTAAGTGGATAACTAGTTAAATTTTCACAGATTTCATTTTTTTATTTTAAAGGGTGTATTGAGAATTAATCCGAAGAAGTTTCATGAAGCCTTCATTCCTTCCCCGGTAAGTTCAATGACTTCATAATAAACTTAATGTCACATTTAATTTTTTAAGTGTGCTCCGAAACTGAAATCATGTATTCTAACTAAAAAGCAGAGTAGTAAAACAAAATCAGGATGGGCAAGGATTTGTTTCAAATTTAAATAGGCACAATTTGCCTTTGGTTAACAAACCCTCTGCCAGTAGTAAACTCACAGTGCGAGTGGCGGGGATGGCGTTTGTTACTAAGGCTGCGGCGAGCAGCTGACCCCGTACAGACACCCACCAGTGTTTGTAGCTGGACACCCTTGGTTAAAGGGATTTATAGCTTAAAGGGATTTATGAGTTTTCCCACTGATTTAAGTTAATCTTTCCCAAACAAATATGCTATCTACTTTCGATCTACTGCATGAGCTAATCTGCAAATTTGTCCAAAAAAAAAAAAAAAAGTGTAATGCTTTTTTCTTTTGGTCAGAGTTTCTCACTTCACTTTTTCTGTAGGTGATAGGACTTGGTCCAAGGCTCTTCACCGTTGGGTCTTTATATCCTTTCTTCCGTTCATGACTCATTTTACCAGGCTCTTTGCTCTGACATGTAGTTCACAGGAGGTCTCTGGATAAGGCTGGATTTTGCAAAGCTAGGATAGCAATGTTCTCAAATTACCAACATGACTTTTCCAGGCTGCTGTAAATAAGATAGCTCTAGAATTATAGATGTTTTAGCAGTGGAGTAGAGCATAGGAGTAAACTTGAGCTTATAGATGGGGAAATGGAATACGTATATGTATTTCAGTTAACATACTTCATGATGTTCAGTAACGAATTGAGTGACAATACAAGTTTAGTCATGTGCTTCCCCAGTGGTGGTGGTTTCCAGTAACTTTAAGGCCTGTTCTCAAGCTCAGTTTAGTTCTTTTTCCCCCTTGCCCTACAGAAGTCAAGGATCCACATTCGTATCTCAGATTCCATCTTATCCAGTGGATTAGATAAAAAGTATCACTGACATGTCACCGTGTACTCTCTGAGCCCTGTTCTGCTTCCGTGACAGACCATGCTGTGTATTCTGACAGCTGAGGGTCAGCTTTGAGGCAGTGACTTAACTGCAGGGGCAGGTTTGTCCTCCCATGGAAGCACAGTTGACATGGTGGTTGATTCCCGACTTTGCTTGTAAGGTAAAAATCATATTCAGTAATCGTGAAAATCACCCATGAAAATCTCTTAGGAAGATGCCATGTTAGAGACAGATAATCTCTTAGTAAGTCCCATATAACTAGCATTTTCTCTATTTAGAAAGAATAAATCTTTCTTCATTGGCATACCAGTTGAGGGAGCTCAATTATAATAGGGTCCTGAAGTATGAAGAGCATGAGTTACTAAGCATGAAAATCATGGTCAGTGGAGTAAGGAGTTCATCCTGAGAGACAGCTGGGAGCTGAGCAGATTACAAGCCTCCCATCTCCTGTGTGCACTGAAGTTTGCTGTCATTGACTGGAATGTTAAGGGAAACTACATAGAGCCATTTGAAAATCTGACTGCTTGCTTGTTTTCTTCCCTGAGTACACGGTATTGAACTTCCCTACGTTAGATCCCTGGTAGGCTGGTTCCTGACAAGTGTGGGACCTAGGACAAGAGTACAAAAGGAGGCACACATACCTTATATTAAATATTTAGATGTTAGGGATGCTTGGGTGGCTCAGCCGGTTGGGTGGCTGCCTTCAGCTCAGTTCATGATCCCAGGGTCCTGGGATTGAGTCCTACGTGGGAGTCTTTGCTCAGTGGGGAACCTGCTTCTCTCTCTGCCTCCCACTCCCCCTGCTTGTGCTCACTCTTTCTCTTTGATTTAAAAATATAAATAAGTAAATAAATAAATTTAGAAGTTATATATATCAAACTAACGAACTGTTAGGTAAAATACATTCATGACAAATAAAATAGATTTCTTGTTAAATATACCTCTGTGTACCTGGGTTCAAATGTAGAATTCTCACACTCCTTGGAGCTCCATCCTAAAGTGTGGCCAGATGGAGAGGGTCTGCCTCTGGCCTGCCCCTCTTCCCTTCCTAGTCCTAGCTCCCTGTCCCCTCTTTGCTGTCTCCATTGCCTCCCCCTGCCCATTCATTAAGGGCCCTTGCATGCATCTGTTTGAGCATCTTATCCCACATGTCTAAGTTCTGTCCACATGCCTTAGAAATACCTGCCCTTTAACCACCTGTTAAGTCCACTGGGTGCCATGGGTGCCACCAGTGACTGTGGTCTGTCTCCAGGCAGACAGACCTGGGGAAGATGCTTATGTATGCCTTGGAAGTGGGCTTGGGACTGATTAGCCCAAGATGCACATCCATTTGGCCCTCAGATCTCTTCACTTTTGGGGAGGACTGTGACTGGAGAAGGGCCAGGGAAGAGATCCTCTATATTGCAGGGCCTAGTTAGGTGCCTATAATTTAAATTCATCTGATTTATAGGTGCAAATGATTTGTTGCCACAGTTTAATTTGGCTTGTTAAAGGAAGTTAAGAAGCATAAGTTACTAATGCTTCAAAAACCCAAGTTGTTCTCCTACTTGAAATTATATTCCTGGAATGTCCTATTAAGAAACTTTTAGACAGTTGTGTTATTAGGATTGGCTTATTTTTATGCCCCTTATTCTCGGATTTGGCCACTAATGGAGTAGTAATGTTGTCTCAGAGGGAGAAGAAATGTTAAAAGGTTCACCTCTAAGTAACTAAGAACTGACTATAAAAGCTCTATCAAGGCCCAGTTGTGAGTTTTGGTTGTAGATACTGGAACAATCCTATATGCTAGTTTTGTGGGGGTTTTGGTGAGTTTCATTGTTTAGAGGCATTCTAGAAAGCATTGAGGGAGGAGAGGCAATAAATTATATGTCGGTAAATTCCACAACCACCACTGGTCTGGATTTATGGGTATATGTAGCTCATGTCTACGTCAAGTGTGAACTGGTGTGCACTGGAAGAATGTTCACTGGTGGATTAGGAGTTGAATAGCAGAACCAGGGCCTGAAGGTTACCTGTCCCCTGCTTAAGCAGGGAGAGTAAAGACAGGAGTTGTTAGAAAAGAAGATGTAGCCTTTGCTCTGACAATAGGAAATTGAAAAGTTTACTTATTTATAAAACTAGCAATGGATTAAATTGTCTAATGTTCCTTACAACTTTAAAATTCTGAATTCTAATATAAAATTATAAAGTTTTTGGAGAGACAAAAATAGACTAGATTTGTTTATTTAGGTTCTTGCTGACTTTTACAAAAAGCACAGGTTCCATTCTGAATTATGTTGATGCAAGAAGTTTTATAAGTTTTTTTGTGCATCTTGTCATGGGAGGCACCCTTTGAACATCTGTGGAATGTATTTTGTCCAAAGGGAGCCATTCCATCGATAGAGAATGCTCTTGGTTTGTCCTCCCTACTTGGAAACTTCCTAAGTATTTAGTTGATTACCCCCAGATCCCATTATGTTTCCTCTAGGATGGTTCATTATCCATTTTCCTTTTTTTCTAGTAGAGCTAGTCTTTGACATTCAAATAAAGAGCTGAACTCTTTAGCCTTTAAAAGTAGTTAAGTGTGATGAATTGAACTTTTAATATTGAGTTGTTCCCAAGTTTATGGTCTTTAAGAGATTCTGCAATAGGTATGGGCTTCTGAGTGAATCCACTAAGAGCTGAGCAGTGATGCAATACCTGGAGATTGGTGTATTGTCTGAGGTTCAGCTCGGCCCTGCTCTTCTGGATTTCTTTGGATGGGAATGTGGCAATACCAGTACCTTATCATCTTAAATCTCTGAGCTCTCTGGGGGTGGTGTACCTGTTTATGAGAGAGGCATTTTATTTCATGTTTTGACTACATGATCATGGGTTGGGATGACCTCCAAACAGCTCTCTCTTCGTTCCAGGGAAGTTGGAGAGCCCCATTTGGTACATAAATTGCAGAAGGTAGCGATTGATGACCACGTGCCACCCTGCAGTTGTACACGTTCTGTTTGGTGGTTGCCCTTCCTTATTCCTCTGAGAAGCTCAACATGAGGCCAACTGCAGTGATTCTGTCTTTGTGGCTAACATGGATGGTAGCGGTCCCTCAGGGACTAGGGTGGGGCAGGTTTGGCAATGTGTGTAGGCCACAGCTGTCTGCCCATGGTTAGATTGGAAACTGAACAGAAAAACTGTTCTAAAACCTCTCTCATGGTTTGTAATTGGAAACTATAAAAATTGCTGAGTGTCTAAAGTCCCATTTTTGGTGTTGGCAGGGCAGGTTTGGTGAATTTGGGATGCTAATTTTAACTTTAACTGAAATGTTACAGTAATCAACTGTAGTCTGGTAAGTAATCTTATCTATACCAAGTGTCTCTACCTACAGAATTTTGAGTGGTGGTTTTCTAAGCCTGTTTGCTATTACTTCAAGAAAAATGAACATTCCATGGGCACTTGAGAAGAATGTATACTTTTGCTTTGGGATGGAATGTTCTGAATATATCTGTGAAGTCCATCTGGTCCAGTGTGTCATTCAAAGCCGTTATTTCCTTGCTGATCTTCTGCTTAAATGATCTGTCCATTGCGGTAGGGGGGTGTTAAAGTCCCCTACTATTACTGTATTATTATCAATGTGTTTCTTTGATTTTGCTATTAATTGGCTGCTCACACATTAGGGATATACATATTTACAGTTATTAGATCTTCTTGGTGGGTAGACCCTTTAATTATGATATAGTGTCCTTCCTCATCCCTTGTTATGGTCTTTTGTTTAAAATCTAATTTAACTGATACAAGGATTGCCACACTAGCTTTCTTTTGATGTCCATTAGCATGATAAATTGTTTTCCACCCATCATATCGATGGGTCAGCTTTTTTATCCAATTTGAAACCCTGTGTCTTTTGATTAGGGCATTTAGCCCATTTACATTTAGGGTAACTACTAAAAGATATATGAATTTAGTGCCATTCTATTGCCTATAAGGTGACTGTTACTGTATATCCTCTCTGTTCCTTTCTGGTCTGTGTTTCTCGTGGGCTCTCTCTTCTTTTAGAGGACCCTTTTAATATTTCTTGCCAGGCTGGTTTGGCGATCACAAATTCTTTTAGTTTTTGTTTGTCCTGGAAGCTTTTTATCACTCCTTCTATTTTGAATGACATCCTAGCTGGATAAAGTATCCTTGACTGCATATTTTTCTCATTTAGCACCCTGAATATATCATGCCAGTCCTTTCTGGCCTGCCAGGTCTCTGTGGATAGGTCTGCTGCCAGTCTAATGTTTCTACCCTTGCAGCTTACAGATCTCTTATCCCTGAGATGCTTTCAGGATTTTTTTCTTTGTCTCTGAGATTTGTAAGTTTCACTACTATATATTGGGTGTTGACCTATTTTTATTGATTTTGAGGGGAATTTTCTGTGCCTCTTAGATTTTGATGCCTGTTTCCTTCCCCAGATAGTGACGTTCTCTGCTATAATTTGCTCCAGTATACCTTCTGCCTCCTCTCTCTTCTTATTTGGGATCCCAATTATTCTAATATTGTTTTGTCTTATGTTATCACTTATCTCTTAAATTCTTCCCTTATGATCCAGTAGTTATTCATCTCTCTTTTTCTCAGCTTCTTTATTCTCCATTATTTGGTCTTCTGTATCACTAATTCTCTCTTCTGTCTCATTTATCCTAGCAGTTAGAGCCTCCATTTTTTATTACACTTCATTAATAGCCTTTTAAATTTTGACTTGATTAGATTTTAGTTCTTTTATTTCTCCAGAAAGGGATCCTCTAGTGTCTTCTATGCTTTTTTCAAGCCCAGCTGGTATCTTTTTAATTGTTATTCTGAACTCTAGTTCCAACATGGTGAATTTTTCTATCTTGTCATTCTGTCCAGAGAAGAATAGATGAATAAGAGAACAAAATACTAAAATGGCAACAATGACCCCAGAGAAATTGACACTAAACAAATCAGAGGGGACCCAGAACTGGGAAAAAAAAAAATTAAAAAAAAAAAAAAAAAAAGAAAGAAAGAGAATATAATCAGGCAGGTGGATGAAACAGAGCAATACATTGGATCCTGTATGTATTTTGGTCTGTTTGTTAGAAAACTAGATGCCAAAGTTGTAAAGAAAGAAAAACTTAAATATGTACAAAAATAAAATTAAATACAATGAAAGGATAGAATGTAATTGTAAAAATGAACATTAAAAGATTCCACCCCCCCACACACACAAAAGGAATATAAACAGACAGGTGAACAGAACAAAGCAATACTGTAAATCCTGAGTGTATTTTGGTTGGTTTGTTAGAAGAAACTACATCTTGAAACTGTAAAGAAAGAAAAACTTATATACATACAAAAATTAAATTAAATACATTGAGAGGATAGACTGTAACTGTAAAGATGAAAATGAAAGACTTTAACAATAACAATAAAAAAGAATATGATCAGACAGGTGAAAAGAATAGAGCCATACACTAGATTCTGGGTGTATTTTGGTCTGTTTATTAGAAGAAACTGTATCCCAAAATGAAACATACATACATATATATATATATATATATATATACACACACACACACACACACACATACATACACACACACACACACACACAACTAAAATTAAAAGATAGAATTTAACTGTAAAAATGAAAATTTAAAAACCATTTTAAAAAAGAAGTTGACAAAATAAGAAATTCACTGAAAAAGGAAAGAGAGGAATACCTGGGTGACTCCGTTGGTGGGGTGTCTGCCTTCGAGTCATGATCCCAGGGTCCTGGGATGGAGTCCTCCCTTGGGTTCCTTGCTCAGAGCCCCAGTTATTTCTAATAATACACTTCTCAGGGGGCCTGCTTCTCCCTCTGCCTCCCAATCCCCCAGTTGTGCTTTCTCTCTCTCTCTCTCATTCTGACAAATAAATAAAGTCTTAAAAAAAAAAGAAAGGGAAAAAATTTAAAATTGAAAGACTAAAGAGTCTTGAGGAAAAAAAACATGAATTCTGTATACTATTTTCCCCATTGGAGCATTGGAGTTTTGCAGTTTTCTGTGGTAGGTAAACTTGGCCTTAGTTGGTGTTCTTGCTGATCTTCTGTGGGAGGGGCCTGTTATGCTGATTTTCAGGTGTCCTTGCCCCGGGCAGAATTGCACCAGCCTTGCCAGGGGGGGCAGGTTAATCTGCTCCAGATTGCCCTATGGTGGCTTTGTTCCCTGAAGGGTTTCCACCTAGCTTTAGAGGATGAGAATGAAAATGGCAGCGTCCCAATCTCCTGGAGCCAAAAGCTTGGGGGCTCCCCTCCTCACAGTGCCCACAGGGAAACGCAGTCAGTCACTCCCGGGTCTCTGTCGGTACCCTCTGCTCACCCAGCCTGTGACTGAGCGTTTCTACCTCTGGCACATGACCCAGGACTCCCTTAGAGTCTCCAAACCCTGCAGACTGCTGCATCTCACAAACATGCTGCTCCACCTGGGGGTGGAAGGGGAATCTCCTGCTGGTTCTGTCGCTTGCTGGGCCCCTGCTTCAGGAGGGGTCACCCAACTGTGCTGCGGTTCGGGATTTATGGCAACCCCAAGCTGAGAGCCCACTCCTGGGCTTGGTGATTGCAGCCGGCTTCCCTGCTCTGACACCTGGGAGCTCTGCTTCATTCAGGCGCCCCTGGTCTTTCTGTGACTCCAAGGATCCTGAGACCACACTGTCCCTAACCTGGGTTATTTGTAAGCATGTGGTTGAGGACAAAGGTGTCCATGCCTTGTGTTCATGGTGGGGAGTTCACCCTGCTCCTCAGTCAGAGAGTGAAGGAGCATGAGAATGCTTCATGAATCTCATGTCCTTTTCCTTTTCTTCTTTGCCTTCTACTTAGATCTCTATAAAAGTAACTGCAGTTTGCTTTCTCTGTCATTTCTCAGTGGGAGGATTATGATTTTGCTGGTTTCTTCCTTGGAGGACTCAAATCCTGGAGTTGGTTCTTGCTCCTGTCCTTGCAGCTGGTTTTCTTAGGGAATTATATTTTGTTGTTATGTTTTCTTGCAAACCTTCTCAGTTTTACCCTTTTTTGATACTTAAAAAAAAATTCAGTTAGTGTAGAAAAGGTATCATCATGCTTTATTTAAAACAAGGAAGGATAACTTACTCCTTTCTCATTTCAGTTATGAAAGCATGTAGTCTCAGTTTTTTGCTTTAATTATTTTTGTTTGGTTTTGGCTTGACTGTAGATCATCTTCTCTTATGTTTTTGAAATTTCTTTAACATTCTTTTAACCTGCTTTTATGTGTTCATCCCTGTTTCTATTAGTTCCAGAGACTAATTTCCCTCTTAGTGTTCTTGTTAAGCCCGTGGACAGATTGTAGAGTCTACAGTTTTTAAACCAAAGAAGTAATATTCAGTTCCAGGTCTTGGTAAGCTCTTTTCTCTCTCCAACCTAGGATGGTGATCGAGACATTTTTATCGATGGGGTTGTTGCTCGTAATAGAGCCTTGAATGGGGATCTGGTGGTCGTGAAGCTGCTTCCAGAAGAGCAATGGAAGGTGAGTTAAATTTTCCTTTTCTAATAATAACCTTCTCTCAGGGCCTTTTTATTCCATGGACATCTGTGAGACATCATAAACTGGAGCAGTCACAGACTCCTCAGGTCCTGTAGTTGCCTCAGAAGCAGGCCATGCAGTGCCTGGAACTTAGAAGCATCTGCTGGGCAGACATCTAATGATTTGAGTTGTTCTCCTTGCTCCCTCCCTGTGATCTGTCTTCCCTGTCATATGCATTGCATTGATTTCTGATAATTTTTAGGATAGAAGAAAAGCTTACAGGGTACATTCAAACTTCTGACATGTATTACTTTCCCACATTTAATGATGGGAGAACTGAAAAGACAAAGGCAGGGGCATGGTGGCAGTCTTCACATGTTCTTGCTTCCTCTACGGGAAAACCTGGGCAACATGTACCTCTTTCTGTAGGTTCTACTTTGGTGATTGGGCTTCCCTTGGCAGACAAAAATAGACCCTCTCTTTTTATAAAACAGAGATCTGGTGGCAGAAGAAAATGTTTTTAACTGGAAAATATCCTGGGTTTCAGGCTCCATATATGTCTTGTCAATTGAAAAGAAAAATGTGGTTTTCGACTATTGTTTTAAATAAAGGTCAGGCATTAGAATGATTCATAGTAGTAGTTTCTTTGAATTGTCATGTAGAACTGGCAACTTGTGGGTCCAAATCTGGGTATTTCTTTATAGCATTTCTTCAGATCTTTTATTTTATTTGTCTCAGTTCACTGGTATTGAGGAATATGGTGTCACCTTCAGTGAGAGATAGGTACTGTAGGGATTAATAGAATGGGCTTTTAGGCTAGGCTTCTTGGGTTTGAATCCCATTTCTGCCACTCATCTGTATAACCGTGGGTGAATTATATAACCCCTCTGTGCCTCAAAGCCCTCATCTATAAAATGGGAATAATTATAGTACCTACTTCATGGGTTTGTCATGAAGATTAAATGAGAATACATGTAAAAATGGTGCCTGACCCATGGTAGCAGTTCAAGCAATGTCAGTTTTTATTAGCTTTTACAAAAATAGGAGAAATACTACCTTATTTCAGAGCTTTGTCAAGACAAATTTGTTTTTATCTGATAGGGCTAGAGTAACTGACTTAGAATGGGCATTTCTAGGGTGTAGGTATGTTAATAATGATCAAGAGAGATATAGCTCTTGCCTTCATGGAGCTTTTAGTCTGATGGGGAGTGCAGGTAGGAAGAGACAGGTATTAATCACACACAGATTAAGGATAATTATGATTAATGCCATGAAGTTAAGTGCAGAGTGTTTTATAAGAGTCATTTATCCTAGTCCTGATCCCCCAGCCCATCCCCAGTTGCTGCCAGCTGTGGTTATATCCTCCCTTGATTTCCCAAAAGCACAGCTAACAGTTGGTTCCAGGTCCTAGGAACGTAGATTGATTTAGGCCACTTCCTCTTTTCTGGAACACATCTAGCACAGTGTTAATGAGATCTAAGAAGACAAGAAGATTGCATTAGGGCCTGGTCAGACTAAAGAAGTATCCCTAGGGGTCATTTGAAGGAGTAAAGAGGCAGAATTAGAGTGAAGATGATCCATAAGGAACAAGAAAGATGGTGGTTTCCTTTGACTTAAGGAGTGAGAATGGGTAGAATAGAAAGAAATAGAAGAGTAATTAGCAAATTGGGTGAGTCTAGAGCTGACCAGAGCAGGTGTAAGGTGTTGACTTGTTGGAAATAATAGGAATGGAGAGCACATAGCAGAGCACCTGTGGTGCTCTGCAGAGTTAGATGAGGTTGATTCAAAGAGAACAAGGCCAAGTTGCCCAACATCCTTCCTACCTTGGCTGTGACAAGGGATGGCTAAAAAAACAAACATATGAATAAATAAATTGGTTGAATTATTTTCTTTGTTTTTTTACCTCATTTGTATTTTTAAAAGATTTTATTTATTTATTAGAGAGGGAGAGAATGAGAGAGAGAGCATGAGTGGAAGACAGGTCAGAGGGAGAAGCAGACCCTCTGCTGAGCAGGGAGCCCGGTACGGGACTCGGTATCGGGACTCCAGGATCACGACCTGAACTGAAGGCAGTTGCTTAACCAACTGAGCCACCCAGGTGCCCCCACCCCATTTGTATTTAAGACCAGCAAGCATAGCCTCTCCTGGTATTATCAGATGTACTCTTGCTTTGGACAGGAAGCCTGACAAGATGAGAGTAGTTTGGAGGTGAAGGTGTTGTTGTCAAGTTGTAGAAGGATAGCTTAGGACTTCGGCATTCTTATTTATGCCTTGGTGCCTTTGCTTCTAGACAAAGACCTATCTCCTTGAGACTCAACACAGCAAAGTTGTGTTTTTTCCCAGGAGGCCTATGTTTGTGATTTTGTAATTCCTAGGTCACTGGAGCTAGTTAGGCAGATAAGATTTTACTGAAATTCTTACAGTGTTCCCACAGTCCGTATAGGCAGGCTACATTAACACAGCTTGTTGTTTTTCTGGTTTACAGTTAATATCTAAAGGCAGAAGAGATTAAGGGCCACATGGGAGTTCTAAGCCCGGAAGTGACATAGTGTTATTTAGCCAAAATCACTCTGGCTGCTATTTGGAGAATGGAATGTAGTGGGGGCAATATGTGTTGGCATGGCCAGTTAGGAGACATATACTGGGTCATGACAGTAAAGATGGAGAGAGGTAGGGATACATTTTGAAAGTATAGCTGTTGGGACTTGAAGATGGATTTGAGGAGTAGGATGAGTAAAAGAGAGGGGAAACAAGGATTAAATTCTGGTTTAAACAAAATAGATGAGTATGATGTCATTAATTAAAATGAGGAATAGTTAGGGACAAGCATGTTTGGGTGCAAAAATTGTGAGTTCTGCTTGGCCATGTTAAGTTGTAATTTCTTTTCAGACATGTTAATGGAGATGTTGAGAATGTATGGAGGCATAGATGGCTCATTACTCATAAATTCTACTAAACATTTAAGAAAAATAATCCTGAGTCTACGCAGACGATTTCAGAAAATGCAAGAGGAAGAAATCTTTTTTTTCTTTTTTTTTTAAATAAGAATTGTTATAATTTAATCTCTTAACAACTTTCCTATATAGCAATACAAGAACTCTTTTTCAACTTATCCTATGAAGGCAGCATTGCCTTAATATCAAAACTAGGAAAAGACAGTATAAGAGAAGAAAGCTACAGACCAGTACTCCTCACAAACATAGTTGAAAAAGTCCTCAACAAAATATTAGCAGATAGAATCCAATAACCTATTATATTAAAAGGGTAACACAACATGAGCAAATGGGTTTTATCACAGGAATGCAAAGTTGGTTTAATATTTGAAAAGCAATTTGATGAAATTCATTGTATTAACAGATTAATAAACACCATATTTCAGTCAATGTCATCATTTTAATAGATGCAGAAAATACAATTGACAAAAGTCCACAACATTCATAATAAAAACTCACAGCAAATTAGGAATAAAAGATTATTTCCTCAGGCTGGCAAAAGAACACTTAGGAGATACTTCAAACTAAGACCATTCTTAGTAAGGTAAAAGACTAAATGCTTTTCCTCCAATATTGGGAATGAGGTAAAAATGTCCCTTCTCATCCCTTTTATTCAACACTGTACTGAATATTTATAGCCAGTACAGTAAAGAATAGAAAAAAAGCATTCAGAGTGAAAAGGAAGAAGTAAAACTCTCTTTATTCTCAGATGATATGATTTTCTACCTATAAAATCCTAAGGAATTGACAAACAGCTGCTAGAACTAGTAATGAGATTACCAAGGTTGAAGGACAGAAATTTGATATTAAAGAAATCAATTTTACTTCTACATATTAGCAATGGGAAATTAGAAATTAAAAAATTTATTGAAGTATCTGTGTAATAGGATCGAAATTATGATATACTTAATTTTGACCAATTACAAGACATGTACGCTAAAACTATGAACATCATTGGGAAAAATTATGTAAGATTTCAGTAAATGGTGAGAAATACCATGCTCTTGAATTAAAAGACTCAATATTGTTAAGATGCCATTTCTATTCAGATTGATCTATAGATTAAGCACAATCCCAAAGAAAATCATAGCAGGCTGCTTCTTCTTTTTTTTTTTTTTTTTAAAGATTTTATTTATTTACTTGACAGACAGAGATCACAAGTAGGCAGAGAGTTGGCCAGAGAGAGAGGAGGAAGCAGGCTCCCTGCTGAGCAGAGAGCCCGATGTGGGGCTCGATCCCAGGACCCTGGGATCACGACCTGAGCCGAAGGCAGAGGCTTTAACCCACTGAGCCACCCAGGTGCCCCCATAGCAGGCTTCTTTATAGAAATTAACAAACTGGTTATAAGATTTATATAGTTGTGCGGAGGGCCTAGGATAGCCAAAACAAAGAAGAACAAAATTGGAGGCCGCATATTACCTGATTTCAAGAATTACTATAAAGCTCTGGGAATCAAGACTGTGTGGTAATGTCAAGATAGACATATAGATCAATAGAGCAGAATAGAGAGTCTTGAAATAGACCTATACCTATATGATTAATTGAGTTTCTACAAAGGTGTCAAGGTAATTAAGTGTAGAAAGGATCTCTTTTCAACAAATATGCTATTACAATTGTGTAGCCATATAAAAAATAGTGAACTTTGACCCTTACCTTGTACCATTTGCAGAAATTAACTTGAAATGGATTGTAGATGTAAATGTTTGTGTAAAAAGCCCGAACTTTCTGTAAGAGGGGAAATTTTAGTGATCTCAGATTTGACAAATATTTCTTAAATATGAAACATTTAAAAAACCAATAAATTTGACTTAATCAAAATTGCAAACTTTTGCTCTTCAGTAAACACTGTTATAAAAAGGCAAGCCACAGACTAGGAGAGAATATTTATAAAACATTTATCTGACCAAAGACTTTTATCTAGACTGTAAAGAACTCTTTTAAGTCAGTAACAGACAACTATTTTAAAACTGTATTAAAGATTTGAAGAGATACTTTACTAAATAAGATATA